TATATATATATGTTTTATATATTACATATATAAATTCTGCTTAGTATATGAGAGTGTTAGAAAGGGACTACAGATAAATTCAAAATTTAATTTCCTGTTAACAGGGTACTGGCTTTTCTTTAAGTACTATAAACCCAACTTCACTGTCCAATAAGCCAGAAATAAATCCTGTTTTTAAGGCTTGTTTAATCAGCCAAATAAGCCTGGACAATTGAAATCTGAGTCATTCCTCTTTTATGGAGAATGGCACCATTTCTGCTTGACAATTTCTACTCATGCGTGTAAAGCTAACGCATTTTAGCTCTTGTCAGAACAAAATGGTCTTATTTACGTATTGATGGTTTTTATACCCTACCTTTTCTCTAAGAGGTAAAGGTGATGCTGATACTTCTTCACTTTATCTGTGCAGTAACGCGTTGAGTAACTTTTGGCCCAAAGTTCTAACCACAATACCACATCAGCATTTTCTGTTATATTCCTGTGCTCGTGTTGTGCCACAAGAGAGCAACTCACAAAGAAGGAACACATTAATTGTCTTCTGTTGTCTTGGGTGCACAGGTTAACGTTCTCCATAGGAAATTCAGTATTAGATGGTAGATTAGTAAATTCAACCCCTTCTGTGGTTTTAAGAGCCACAGAACTTTTGGTGGAGGTAAGTAAAAGATTTACTTGTTGGCTGGGTTTGCACAACACATTAGGCTTGGCTTGTGACTCAATTTGTTGGGCTAATCTTTCCAGTGTGTACTCAGCCAGTTCAGTTAATTCAATGAACTGTAGTTAAGGAAATCATAGATTAGCTTGTGGACCTCTTCTGCAGAAAACATCTACATCAAGGAGACTGTATCTGTCCCAAGGTCACCTCAGATGGCCAGATGTCCTGGAGTTCCTAATGTTGGAGCTTGCTCCATCCTCTGCTGTGTTGACAGAAGTATATATAACATTTGTTGAAAGTTGAAGAAAATTACCTCCATGACTCAAGATTTTCAATAAGGAGTGATGTGCATGTAAGAGAGAAAGAGGGGGAGAATCTTTAGGCTGTTTTTGGACTAAGCTATAGAAAACTTGGTTGGTTAGGTTTTAGTTCTTTTTGTTGTGTGAATTGTGGTTTATTGAAACCATGGTTAAGCAAACAATAAGGACTTAATGGGATGTGTTAACCCACAATTGGTTAAAGTTGAGGAACTACATAGAAATAGTTTTACTCACATCTCTTGGGAAGAAACCCATAAGGTAGCAGTGAATGAATGTTTAAAAAAATATGAAAAGAGAAAAGGTTAGTGACTTTGGGCAAGAAATCTCACAATATCAAAGGACCTTTCTGATCAAATATCTCTTCACATATGTCTACTGCTCACTTGGTGACAAAGTAGACATCCCTGACTAAGTGTCTCTGATGGGACTTCTTTTGGCTTCTCTCATATCTCAAGCTTAGTGCATTTTCTAATAAATTGGTACACAAATGTGGCTACCACTCAAAGGTAGACAATGTGAGTGATCAGCACATTTGTGTGAATGAGATCTGCAGATTCCCCAGAAGATTCAGCAAGGCATTATGACTGAAATGCCATAATTTTGAGTTTGTATAATTATCTAAGCAATACCTATCTACATGATGAAATATTCCAGAGGATTTTGATCTGAAATAATTAACACAACTTGATCATATGTTTTAGCAATTCATAAAGGGATGACTGTAGCTAGCAATTGGCTAGGTCAGTGGATCTTTAGATGGACGGCAAAATACACATAATTTAAACAAATTCATTTTTGTAGAGCAGACAAAGCCAGCCTTTCATTCCCCAGAATGAAGGGGAGCTCAGATGAAATGCTTTTTGGTGTATTTCATTGTCTGTTTCTGACAGTAAACTGTACCCCAACCTGCTTTCAAAAGATAAATGTTAACTTCTCAAAGCTATGTATGAACCAAGAAGCACTTGGAATAAATTGTATTTGTGAAATAATTTCTGCAACATAGCCACTATAAAAATCAGAATTAACTAGAAAGCTAGAAAAACTTGAACAGGGATAAAAAGTCATATGACGTGTGCTGCTTGGTGTACTCTGAGAGGCCTGGTTGAAATAAAGATTTGAAAGGTGTAGCTGTTTCTTATGAAGTAAGAAGTTTTATGAACATGCTCTCTCTCATCTCTCCTCCAAAAAAGATAGTAGGAAAAGGAAAGTGCTAGACAGGAGGAAGAAGACTGGGACACTTAAAAAAAAAAAAAGGCTGGTTATGAGACCCTTAACATAGATATGTAGTAAAATTTATTTATTTATTTATTTATTTATTTATTTATCCATCC